TAATCATGGCATCCACAGTCAGGCTACTTCACCTCCTGGGACCTCAGTTTCTTTACCTGTGAGAATATCTTCCCTGCCTTCTACACCTACTGCAAAGCTATGAGGGTCCATGAAAGCAATCTAAGAAAGAGGACTTTTTATTACTATTATTTTTGAAGGCACTGGTTGACAGAAAGCAGTGTTTGCATGCTCCCACAGAGGCCTTTGGGTCAATCACCCTTTCCCTGCTCATCTTCCAAAATCCTCTAGTTTCACTTGGGCAATTAAATTTAAATATTTGACTTTTTCCTCAGATCTCAGCCCTTCGTTAACGGGAGTCACAGGAACTAGAATTACAGCTACCTGTCACCTTTGCTCTCGATGAAGAGGGTGGCTGACCTGCTCTCCTGACCCAAGGGTGTAGGCCGCGCCCCTCTTCCCTTGACTCTGTTCTACTTGGAGCAATGATTTATACATTCATCCTCACTGCCTCAGGCCCGATTAATCCTTACACCGATGGCCCCAAACAGAATGCCATAGATTACCAGACTTCCATCCACAACAGCCTTTTAAAGCGCACACTCCTGACTCCACTGGAATAGAAGCAATACTCAGTCCTAACGCTTAAGCACTGTCGCCACCTTGTGGTCAAAAGCTGCTGTTTATTAGATAGGATCTTGTTTACCTTTTCTGAAGGGAGTAAAATGGACAAGAAGTGGAAGGAGGGGCTGGCAAAATGAACATCTCGTTAACATACTCTGATGACTGTTGGTTATAGAAAGTGGCATGTTTACAGATGATGAGGCGGGACCGAGCTCCTTGGATTTTAGGTGTGGATTCCAACAAGCAAACTTACAGTGGCCTGCAGGCTAAAATACTGTTTTTACCTAAGTCTTAAAATGCATTGAAATATTATTAGTTCAGCATTGTGAGTCTGGTGGCATTTAGCTAAATAAATCCACCAACATATGCTGAATCCTTGCCTGTGATCAGGCCACCAAAAGGAAGGACGTCTGTTCTCTGAGAATAAGTAAACAAAGGAACAATCTGGAAAGGGTGATGGATGTTCAAGAAAACCTCTCCCAGAATGTGACTTCTGACTAGAAGATGGGGAGTTCATGGCCTGGGGAGGAGGACCACACATTGGTGTGACTAAGATGACTCCCATGACAGTAGAGATGAAGATGGGGTGGGGAAGGGGCAGCTAATGCTGGAGGGACTCATTTATCTCTTCCCAAAAAGCAACAGGAACCCATTCACATGTTATAAGCAAGGAGGCGACAAAGTTGAGTTTGATAAAGCTCATTCTTCTGGCAGTGAGGAGAAACCACTAGAGACAGACAAGGACCCAACACACTATTAACATAGTCTGGGTGAGCATCGCAATATTAAGAAACGCTCAACATACACATCATCTGTACTGATTCACTTATTCCCCCTAACACCCCATGAAATACATGGATCATTCTAAAATCTATCTTACAGATTAAAAGTGAAGTGTTAACAGAAAGCTAACTCCACAGCCTACACCAGTAACCACTATTCTACAAGCACTTGGTATATATACATATACATATACATATACATATACATATACATATACATATACATATACATATACATATACATATACATATACACATCTCAGTAGTTAACAGTGACATGGAGAAAAGCATATGGAACTATTTCAGGAGGCGACTCCACAAGGCCCAATGACACTGGATATAGGACATCAGGCAGGGAGGTGTGGATGAGCACATTGAGGCTGCTGACTTGAGTAATTGTTTGTTTGGGGGCATTGAAAGAACACCAGGTTAGGAGGGATCATATATAAATTTGATGTTGAGTTTACCTGGTGTGTGTGTGTGTGTGTGTGTGTGTGTGCATGTGTGCTGTGTGTGCATGGGTTATATGTGTGTTTGTGTGGATGTGTGCACATACGTAGGTATGGAGGTATGTGAGTGCACCGATGTGGAGGCCCAGAGGTCAATATTAAGCGTCTTCCTTGGTCACCTCTCCAATTAGCACAGAACCATTCCTTCCTTCCTTCTGTTCTTCCCTCCCTTCCTCCTTCCCTCCTTCCCTCTGACCCTCCATCCCTTTTTCCCTTCCTTCCTTCCTTCCTTCCTTCCTTCCTTCCTTCCTTCCTTCCTTCCTTCCTTCCTTCCTTCCTTCTTCTGTCTCTCTCTCTCTCAGGTCTCTTCCTGAACCTGGGGCTCACTGATTTGCCTGCGCAGGTTAGCCAATGAGCTCCAGGAATCCACTGGTCTGTCCTCAGGACATTAGGGTTACAAATACTGAACACCTCCCTGCCCTCCATCCTCGAGCCCCCAGCCCCTGGCACCTGGTATCTGAACCCAGGGTCTCAGGCTTTGGCAATGTTCTTATTAACCAACTACCTCCCCAGTCTCTTGATCAGTATTTAAGACAGCCAACTGAAGACACTAGGAGATAGTTGGCTGAAAAGAGAGAAGCAGGGTCCCAATGATGAAGAGACTTTTGAGGCCACAAGTACAATGGCTCAGAGAAAGAGCACAGGGTAAGAACAGGGCTAATATGAAGGCTTCTGGGCTGTGGGGCTCAGCTTCGAGCTATTCATGGGATGGGGCAGGAACAAATGAGTAGAAATACAATCCAGAGTTTGTGCCCTATAAACCAAGAAAAAGCACATTCTGAGGAAAAGGAAAAGGAAAAGGAAGGAAAGAAGAGGCAATCACAGGAAGAGTCCAGTCAACTTGAGGACTGAAAACTGTCCCTCTGATTCTGCTAGTGATGTCACAGAGGCAGTTGACCAGGGTCTAGCATGAAGAAGAGGCCTCATTCCTTTAAGGCAGAATACACTTGATGACTATTTGTGTTGAAGGGACCAATCCAGTTGATAAGCTATGAGAAGTCGATAATAGTATCAATTTGCTGGAAAGGAGGAAGGGAGAGACACATCTGGATGAGCAGAGGATCTGTCCTTTGTCAGGAGGGAAGGCAAGGTGGGAGTTGATACAGCATGTGACAGGCTCCAGGCTGAGGTTCCCACTAGCTAAACAAGATGTCCAAGTTCCTCCTGAATGGGAAAGAGGATCAGTATATGCTCACAGAGCTGTTCTCACTAACGAGTCTCATGTTTGCCGAAATTCATCCCCAAACATGAATATGCATGCTCTCCTTACCTTTACTGTAATCACACACTTTAGATGCTACAGCAAATGTGAAGAGAGAGGGGGTGTTTCCTTGGAAACCTGTTTGAATGTGTTGAGAGATTTTCAAAACAGCAAGATGCTAAAAATCCTATCCATCTAAGCAGTGAAGTTTAAAATACACATACTCGCATTTCTAATCTCGGCTCTAGGGAGGTGAAGGCTAGCCCATCTTACACAGTGAGCCCCAGACCATCACAGGACATGGAGTGAGACTATCTCAAATATATTCATATACACAAACTACGGTATCTTGGATAATATAGTAAAACACTCTGCAAAGATCTGTTCTTATTTGAGAGAACAAGACTGAATCACAGAATTACCTCTGACCTTTGCAAAGGCAGGATGACATTCAAATGGATCTGCAATCAGGTTGAAAAGGAAGGAGGGAAATTAGCTTGGTCTTACTCAGATATAATAAATGCAAATTTTGTGACTCCCTCTTAACCAATTTTATAAATGAATTGACCAACTGCTGGACCAAGCTGTCCTTAAGGTGAGTTGTACAGTTGCAGAAGTGAATCACTAGCAGGGGCAGTCACTGGTTGTTTACGTATTAATCATATTAATACACTCAGGGAATATTGTAAAAAAATCATTCTTCTCTCTCCCATTTAGTAGAACGAGAAACAGGCTAAACAAAGCATCAGGTACCAAGGTATAACATGTGGATAGGACCTAAGTTCTGCTAACCTTTAACCTAGGATCCAGACTGGCCATTTTCATGATTGTCACATTTCCTGCTCTCGATCTCAAGCTGTCCCTCCCAACATGTTCCATGCCAGCATCCTCCAGCACCAGGCCAGCACTGGCTCATCCATGGTCTTCACCTGTCTTGTCACGGACCCTGCCAACTCAACTCTCATAGAAAGGTCTTCAGACTGTCCCTCACAGCTTTACAGTCTCACATCTTGGGCAGGACCACTGCACTGGCTTCCTGTCACCACTTCCTGATAGATGGAGCTCCACTGCTTAGCACCAACCCATGCTCTTCCCACCCTGTTTTCCTCCTCAGCATCCTAATGGACTTTTCATCAGTGTCTGAAATAGTAATGTTCTTTAGGGACCTGTTTCTGAGCTGCTTGTGTTAACCCCACTGTTTAATCCTCCTCCCCCCTCCAGCTTTTGTTAACCCCACTCTGCAAGTCCTCCCATAACCAGCATTATCTTTATGACAGCTTGTTGGATTGTGGGGGTGGGACATTCTCACAGCTCCTCCACATTTTGCTTCCATTCTGTAAACGCCTTTCTCCTTTTACGTGCTACCCACCATCCCAAGCCTTTGGTTCCCCAAACTGATTCTAACCAGCCCAGATCCCAAACCATTCCACAGCAAGCATGGAGACAACCCTGCCTTACAAAGCCAGGCCATGGCAAAGTCTCTTTTCCTGTCCTATATTCTTGGCCCCTGAGCACTGAGGAAAAACACTGGCTTGGTCACTGGAATCCATGGTTTCCTACCTCCAGTGTGTTCTCACAGGCCTCTGCACCTTCTCGCTCAGCAGTATTCAGTCCCCTTGGTCTTCCTGGTAGTCAGTGCTGACAGAATTGAAACATGGTCTAGGGTAAGCAACTTAGCAAGCTCTTGAGGTCCTGGACAGCGGAAGCTTGAGTATGATTGAGCACACCAACACAGCTGTGCTGCATGGCTTTCAGGCTCTGTGGCATAATAGATACTACTGCTATGCTCCCAATTCTTAGACTTTGTGAGTTGGTGAAGCATGGTGCCAATGTGTGGACCATAAGGAACAAAACAGCTTTAAAATCCCATTGTGTCCAAAGTACCCATCATTATTAGTCATTATCCTTAATCAATGACACATATACTTGATTGTTTTCATTTTCATTTATTCTGTGCAGTTTAAAGTGAAAGTTAAAACATACAAACCATGAAAGCTTTAGATATTACGACAGGAACATAATTTATTTGCATATCCCCCGTCTGTATTTTACATCTTGTTACACAAAGGTACTTTTATCACACACGGCTCTAGTTCCTTACAATGTATTTTGTCAAGCAGCAAGATGACAATGCATCACAGCACAGGACGGAAGGGCTCCTGTAAGAAGCCACGGCAACGGTATTTGGTGAATGATTATGCATAGAACTGGCATGGAGGTGAATGCGAGGCAGCCCTCAACAGGCAGCACGTACTCTAACCAATGGAGATGCAGCTTCCACCAAGACAGGACAAACTCTAACTTGTTACAAGTTTCAAACTCCAGGACACTTGGACAGCAGACAATACAAGGTGCTTTAATTCTAGATTCTATAACTGCACTTAGTTCACCAGATCTGCGGTTACTCTGGTTACCAATCACAGTCAGACCCCTTCTGGGAAAAACTGACTTTAAAAAGGATTGCACTGCAGACTCAATAACTTCATGCACTGCCTCTCTTGACAGGAAACATGGATGACTTCCCATCAGGTTTCAGGTGTCCATACATACATATTCTAAACTTTTAGCAAAATACCATTTTGAAATGGCTCTTCAACCCAATCTAAACAAAGAGGTCAAGATGTCCATAAAACGGCTACCCACTATCTACTTCCACTGTGAGAATCCATTCAGTTCAAAGGTTATCTTCAGGTGTGTATTTAATGCCTCAGCTAACTTATTCAAATCTTTAGTGTTCTGGCATTTAAATCTGAGCCCTGCCACCACATGGGCAATCTGCAAACACACAAACACACACACACACCTTCAGAGACAAAACAAAGATTTGGGAAGGGCTGGGTGAGAAGGACTGCAACCATCCACCTGAGTCCTTGAGTCTCTAACCAGGCCTCAAAGAGATGATATCATTTTTGGAAGGGTGCAGGCAAGACTCTAGTATTTCTCTGCTGTTTTTAAACATTAAAGCTAAGCACACCCCTTGTGCTGAGAGCCTGAGAATGCAGGTGTGGCAGTTGTAACAGCTACGAAAGTACTAAAACAAAACAGGAAACAGGACAGAAACCCACAGCACATGAGGACTCCTGCAGGACAATGGTTTTTCTCCCCTCTCTTGATGGGGTAAAGGAGATCCATGAGACCAATTTTACACAAAGGACTATGCTTTAGACTCTTCATACTGGCATCCAAAATGTCTTCAGTTAAGCACGCAAGTATGAGCTATTACATCATAAGGTACTGTTTCTTGGGCCACGTACAGTATTTATTAATGTTTTGTAATATGCTGCAAACATAAGTGCCAATAAAAAATGCCACATATGTAGCTTTTGGGGAATTAGTTTGGACCTTGTTATAGGTTGGAGGGGACAGTTACATCAGCCATCACTCTTTAATACTGATTAAATACAACGGGGAGCTCACCTGCAGCTTAAAGTGTTTCCTATTGGCATCTAAACCTTAGCTATCTGCCGCAAAAACATTAGCAAAAAGGAAAACTTGGAGCTCAAAACATTAGATTATGAAAAAAAAATCTAATATAAACATCCTCCCAGTACCAAGATGCCTCAGAGCATCTTGACCCATTTAGTGATATTTAGTTGCTTTAAGAAATATTACAAAACAAAGCTAAAAATGACATCACTGCTCTTTTCGCCTCTGGTCACGATGCCCCATAAAGAAGCCAGACCGATGGCACCCCACTCTCAACTGTTGGGCATTTTTTGTTTAAGTAGAGGCTGGCCCCTGTAATTTCCCTTCCAGTGTTCCCAAAGGGCTACAATGTCAAAAACGGTTCTTTAGGAACTCAGCTTGGGGCAAAATCTGCCAGTAGAAAGAATGAGGTATCAAACAAGATTAAACAGCCCCAAAGAACAAGAACCCGGAAAGTACCGTGGCTTTGCAGTTCACCTCTGTATAGTGCAGACAGCACTAGACGGTCCATTAATCTATCTCTCTTCTCTAGTAAACAGTCCAAAGTTCAGTTAAAACAAACATGGACTCCTGGCAAGAGGCATTTTACCTAGTTAAGCAGGTATTTTCAACGACTGCTTTCTCAAGCCCTAGCATTCTTGAGGTCTTGTGGCTGAATTGCTGTTCGTGAAGTACTTTCTCCACAACACAAGCCCAGAACATAAAGTCCCCATATAAAGGGGGACTGATCTCATTCTCCCTAAAGGAGAAGACAGTTGATAGATTCCTAACTATAACTCTAAAACCCCCAATAGGTTTACCCCAAAAGTATTTCATAGAAAATAACTATGTTAACACTGTAAGATTTATACTTAAGTTCTCCAATAAATAACTGCTATCTTGAAAAGTAAATTTACAAATTATCACTTTTACTTAGTCTAAGTGACAATCAACTGTTAAGATGCACCATAAGTATTTCTAAGAAAAAACACTGCCCATTAAGCTGTGACATGCGCCTGGCATCCAGAAACATGTTTTAGTTTGCATTTATTCCATGTTCTAAAATATTTTTGCCACATAAACTTTGAGCCTATGTAAAAAATGTGTGAAATGAACAGGTTAAGTTATAACTGTAACTTCAGATTCTGAGTCCCCCTCTTCCAAATCACTTTGGAAATTAGTCATAGGAATCTTCACTTCCCCACACGTGTGTCAAGAGTACCGGCAATGCTGCATTCCCTGATGGAGCAAGCGCTCACTGCCTTTTGTCTAACACCAGGAGGCAGCTTCGGATAAAACATATGATAGCTTAATGGCAGTCTTCTCCATGAAGTGGTCATACAGGCCTCTCTTTGCTTTGAATTTTGTTAGGTCAACTCTGGGGATTTTGGCAATTTCTCCTTGCCCTTGACTGCAATCCCTTGCCTTGAAGAAAGACAACTGTTTTGCAAGTGCCTCACGGACAAAACGTAGCACAGATTCATCAACTTATGGATATCTTCCTTTCTTAAGTCCCATAAAGCATTTTGTTGTTTCTTTTCAAGACAATATAGAATTGTGATAATTTCTCTGGTAGCAAATGTTGACATCACTATTACCCAAAATGCCTCACTGCTGTTTCCATGTTTCTCTGCATATACAATAACCTTTCACTTCAATGCTGAGTCATTTTTAAATGCCAGTTAAACCGGATATATTTGATACCAACAATATACACATCAGCTGAGGTAATGACACTCTAACAAGGGGCAAAGTCACATATGCGTAAGCTAGGTCAATGGCAAGACTATCTATCACCCGGTTGACAGTAATGAGATACGTCCCAATTCCTGACAAGTTAAAACGTCAAGAAAAGGGTACATTTTATGACTAATAACGTGTCTTCAAGCCTGAAATGTTTACAGATTTACACCAGTGCAAAACAAAACAAAACAAAAAAGCCCAAGAGGCAAAGAGTAAGTAGGCCCAGTGAAGCCAAATATCCAGGATGAAATCTGTAATGGTCCAATTTGGTTTAAATTCCCTTTATTTCTATATGGCTTACGTATAAATCTTTTTTTTTTTTTATGACTGGATATAAATCCAATTGCAAATGTTCCTCAGTCACTTAGTGACTTTCAGAGTCAGGTCTCTAAGGACAGAGGCTCAGAACTCCCTCAGACCATATTCTAGTAAGGCGCATGTCTGGTCAGCGGCCTTCATCAGCAGGTGCCCTTCGCTGGCGAGCAGATCTGATCCTGTGTGGCGAAGCTGAAGGGTCCTCTTCTGTTTCAGACCCTGAAGGCTGCTCATGATCTCCTTCCTGAGATCCTGTGTCTCCCACCAGCTCCCGGAGAAACTTGAATTTAGATAAAAATAGATGCCATACGAAATACCAACCTAGAGGAAGACAAAAACATTAAGACAAATGATTGCTTTGTTTTCAACTCAGAACACGACAGTTAACAGAAAGGCCTGTCACAGAGCAGTATGCATACCAGACAATGCATAAGGCTCTTGGGATGTGTAAGGCGTGAGGATAGTTTCTAGAATTACACAGGACAACTCCCTGCTTTCATGGACTTTAGAACCAAGCAGCGATATTATAATGAGTATTGTTGCTCATATACTCTTGGGAGACTGAGGCAGGTAGATGCCAAGTTCAAGGCTAGCCTGTGCTACATGCTAAGACTCCATCTCAAATACCAATTCTCCGTACACTTCTATGTGAGATTGGGAGTAAGTGAGAGCACTTTTTGTATTAAGATCAAGTTTGACAGTATTTCTATAGCAAAGAAATACACTTGATTAATGAGTGGCTAGACCCTACCTGAGTGCTACTCAAGGTGAGCCAGAATGAAAAGATGCCACACAGGAGAAGTCAACTGTGCCACAGTGAAAGGCCTGTTAAGATGACGCTGCTGAAAAGGGTATAGCAGCAGTTCCAAACCTTCCTAATGCTGAGCCCCTTTTCTACAGGTAGCTCCTTATGTGCTGACCCCAACATAAAACTATTTCAATGCTACTTTATAACTGTCATTTTGCTACTATCAAAAATTGTAACGTGTATTACAAATGGGCTTTATTTTCATGAAGTGTGTGTCCTTGGAGATCGGGTTTGTCAAAGGGGTAGCAACATGCAGGCTGAGAATTGCTGGTTTATAAACAATTTCACAGAAAACTGTAAAAGTTCTACAATTGCGAGATAGGAACATAAAGCCTGTGAACTCATTGCATAAGTTCAAGATTTTTAGAAAATGACATTTTCACGTCAAATTCTTTAAGGAAGAAACATCATTCAATAAAGGATCAATCGTGTAAACCCAAGCTGGCTTGACCCAAGCTTTAGGAGAACACACACAAAGTTGGGGTAAGTCAGCCGCGGCACTGGTGTTCTCATATATCATCAAATTTATCCTTTTGAAGCAGCTTAATGGCTTCTGGAATGTTCATACCGTTGTGTAACCAATACTCTTGAACTCCCGGGCATGTGTACCGACCCTAAAAGAATCCTCCAGAGCCATCATGGTCAGGGAAGGACCTCGGCTGACAGAGAGCTTGTCAGGCTACAGAGATAAAGTCCTAGACTCACTCTCCAGCACCACACAAAACCAGCTGTGGTGGCCCACCTGTAATCCCAACACTTGGAAGTGAAGTGGGAAGATCAGAAATTGAAGGCTATCCTTGACTATAGAGAGAGTTTGAGGTAGCTTGGGCTACATGAGACTTTGTCTTTCAAAAAAAAAAAAAGAAAGAGAAAAAAGAAGTCTGATGCTCTGCAAGAATCCCCCAGCATTGCTGCAGGTCATGACTCACACCTCGAATCCCAGCACTCGGGAGGTATAAGGCAGGTGGATGTCTGTGTGTTCAAGGCCAGCCTGGTCCACACAGTGAGCACCAGGTCAGCCAAGGCTACCTAGTGAGAGACCCTGTCTGAAAAGGTGGGCAGGGGTTGGGGGTGGGGGGCTGGTTAAAGAAAAGAAAAGGAAAAAAGGTGACAACAGTTGCCAGAGGCTTTGGATGGGATCCCACATTCTCTTCCTCCCCAACTGCACTGCCAGTAATGACACCAATGTGAAAAGGTTTCAGTGTCAGGCCAGCGTTCACAAGGCAGTGTCTGCCACGCACCCTCCTCCTTCCCGCTGGCAGTCACGAACGTGCATTACATCACTGCGGATTTCCCCTCTGTGAACATGCCACATAAGTGGCCTTTGTGTCTGGCTTCATTTATAAAACCTCTTTTCAAGGTCCTGCTTGGTGCTGGTGGCTCTACTCTACATCATACCAGCAACATGTGAGGTCCCGTTTCTCCACACCCTCACCAACACTTCCTGTTGCCAAACGACCTAATAGATATGAAATGGCACACGAGAGTGGTGGCTTTGATTTTCATTGGTCTTCATAACTAATAACATGTTTCCTTTTTTTACCAATTTGTAAATTTTTTCCATTTTGCTTTTGAAAACTGTCTATCCAATTGTGCTCAGTTTAAAGCTCGGAGGTTTTGTTTTGTTTAATTCTTGAGCTGTAAGCTCTTGTGTGTTCTAGACGGCAGAGGCACTTCGCCCATTCCATCCAGGCTCTTTTCACTGTTTTGAAATGGCTTCTGCAGAACATGTTTAACTCTGATGAAACCCAGTAAGTCAGTCATTGGGCTGCCTTGGTGACATGGAGGGAACTCCTGGCAAATCCAAGACGGTTGCAGTTTACACCAGCCAATCTTCTAAGAGTTCTACAGACTTTAACACATTAAGTCTTTGGCACAAAGTTTGGGTCCAAATTCATTCATTACTGTATGACTATCAGGTTGTCCCAGATCATTTGTTGAAAGAACAGTTCTCTTGGAAAACTTACCCCAAATCAATCATAGACAGCAATTTTCTTCTGCGCTCCTAACTCTCTAGATGACAGTCTTCTGCTGACACACACCATCTGAACTGCAGTAGCTCTGAATTCCTTTTGAGACCATGAAGTATATGTCCACCAGCTTTCCCAAGACTGTTTTGATGCCTGCATCCCTTGCATTGCTAGGTGAATTTTAGAGCTGGCTAGTCAGTGCAGCGAGTCTGTAGGTCAAAGTAGGGGACTGCGCTGTTTCTGTAATGTCATTCTACTCAACTAAAATTCCCCACAATGTACATACATGCTTCTATGTGTTTATACATGTATGTGAATGTGTTATGGAGGCCAGAGGTCAATGCCAGTGTCTTCCTCTATTGCTCTGGAATTACAGATGTGTACCACCACTCCTGGCTTTGTATGTGGTACTGGGAACCTTAACTCAGATATTGTGACCATGAATGTAAACGTATCAGCAGGAAATTATAATAATGCAGTTCAAAGAGAGGACAGATGGTCTTCACTTCCTTAAGACTAAATATTCCATAGAGAATGAGGGAAGCGATGGGTCAAGAAGTCTCTGACTGAAAAGCACCAATAAGCCCTCAGGACAGGGCAGTTCCCTGTGGGATGGTCAAAAGACAGCAGAGCCCAGCACAGAGGCTTGGGTGTGAGAACATACTCTTAGGTCACAGATTCTCTTCGCCTTGATTTCAACAAAACTGAGATTCAATCACAGAGTGGGGAAGGGAGAGAGAGTTAATAGATGATAGAATGCAGAAGGCTACGGTCGCTGCATCCATACTCGATGTTTTCCCAAAGTGGCCTGCGAAACCACTCATACTTCTGCCCCAAATCTAAACAAACTCACAAAACACGCCTCTATGTCCCTACGGGGAGGGGAGGACAGCAAGAGCTGGGGAGGAGGGCTCAGAGGGTAGCAGCGCTTCACAGAAAGGCTGAGATGGGAACCCTGTCCTGGGAACACAGAGCTCATGCGCTGGCAGCCAGAGAGCATGAGTGCTCGATGTCTAATGACGCTGATGAAAGGTGGCTCAGCTGGCAAGCACTGCAGTGCCGATCACCGAAGCAGAAGGAACTCAAGTTGTCCTCAGGTAAAATGAGGGCATCCTTATATGACTGAAATTTGGGGGAACAGACGGGAAGAGAATGGAGATATCTCTAAACCAGTGTCTGCTTCTTATAAAGTTTATAAAAAATGGCAACTGTCTAAACAAAGGATAATAATGGAAATTCAAAAGTTGAACAAAAATAACTACCCAAGACATTTATTTTTAGAAAAAGAACTATTATAACCCCCAACTCATATATCCTAAGCAAAGCAGGACTTAGCAAAGGAACCATGAGCTACTGCAGTCCCAGAAGGCCCTACTCCAGAAATGTTAGTTAACTACAGAAAAAGAAACCACTAATTTTTCTTGTTAACTTTAGGGACAAGTAGATGTAACCACTACCAGCCTAAGTGTCACTAGATTTAAGCTGTCCTGTCACACACATCTAGGATGCCACACTGCCAGAACAAGAGTGCTCTGATCTAGGAACCATAGCATCTTATCTGTCCTCACCTTATGACAAATAAACCCCAAGTAGATAGAGCATTGCATAGCTAGTCTGGTGTATCAAGGAACTTGTGGTTTAAGTAACAGACACTCGAAGACCCAAAAGTGGGAGTTTCTTAAAAACTTACAAGGGTAACAGGGTCCTTGGGAGCAAGCACCTTTACCACGGACTAGAACTGGGTTGGTTAGTTAACTTGGTCAGTCCTCACGAATGAGTCATTCTCTTGGTGTAGTCTGTTTCTCCTTGCATGTTTACCTCCATACCCGAGAAGTCACGGGTAGTTTTAGAAATTTGTGGGGATTAGACATAGTAGCTTAGAGAAAGAACCTTGGTAAACGCCTCTTTATTAAGCAAGACTCCCAGGACAGTCTCCACCACAGAAGCTGCTCAAAACGAATAGGTGAGCTTTGTCTACTTGTTTTCTGAGACAAGATCTCATTTAGTGCCCAGGCTAGTCTGGAACTTGAGGTATAGTCCATGTCGGCCTTAAACTTGGAGCAATTCTAGTTGCAAGCATCCCAAGTAAGTAAGATTACAGGTAACACATCCATCTCACAGACAGATCTACTGGTTAAAGTCTTCCTATGAAACTAGGCTTGGCGGGGCCTATCGTCATGCCTGGGAGGTAAGGTGGAAGCAGGATCATGAGTTCCAGGCTAGCCTGTACTACAGCAAGATCCTGCATCAAAAACAAAACCTTCCCTGATTCCTTTAAAAGGTCCACACACATTACCTATTAGTGAACGTCTACACTGCATGAGGCTCCAATTACCTGGTGTGGGGCAAAGTGAGGGCAAGGAAAGATGAGAGGCATCTTTTCCCTTTCGGGTACAAGTTCACTGTAAACATAAAACACGGTCAAAAACAACCCAACGTAATGACCTACTTAATGGCAGCAATTCCTAAATGGTATCACTATAACTGATCACTCATCACAAGTTCTAGGGAGGTCTTGGAAACTAGTCTTGAGGGCTCATCGC